ATCCGATCTCTGAAAAACCCTTCAGAAAACTTTCTCAATATTTAAAAACGATGCCACTGGAAAGAGCATTGTCGAAAACCTATAAGAAACATGTTTCGAGTCGTTCAGGTTACTTTATCTTGAACTTCAAATTTTCAATACGAAATTGTTTGTGTGAATCTCAAAAACTAAGAAATTTCTAAAATTCAAAATCGAGTGACCGAAACGAGATGAGTTATACACCATTCGATGCAGTTTTTCACGCTAATTCCGAATATGACCTTACTTTCAAGAAAAAGCGCTTTTATGAGGGCGCAAACTGCGAAATACTCGAAAATCCCCAAGGTTTTTGGAAAGCCTGTAACTCAGCACTCCTAGAGTTGGGAGCCTTTGTGAGATCAGCATATGTAGAGGAGGTTGAGACGAACATTTTGGGCTATTTGTCATATCAATAGCTGCTCAGCGGAGTTTAGCGATTGCATTTTTATGAGGACGTCTTTTTTTTAGATGATTTCCGTGGAAAGATCTTCGCGCGTTCCCCGAAATTTAACTTTGTCCGACAAAAATTTTCTTACGGCTAGATAGCCCAACAGATGACGATTCTATATACATTGTTTTTGAAAAAAATTTATAATTTGACGGAGAAAATGCAATTTTACGCGCCAGCATACTAATTCTACTGATAATTTTGTAATTTAATTTTCTCAACTTTCTCAATTTTCTCAATTTTCTTTCATTTGGAAGAAGCTAGAGCCAAAAACTTTTCACCGTTTAATAGGGCATTATTTATAGTATATATGTCATCATTCAAAATATAAAAATTCGAACCTGCGATTTTTCATCAAAATGCCGCCTAAATGCCCACTGTGAACTAGCGTTCAATTTTTACTAATTGAATGCAGCGCGGCAAGAAGTACCTAATTTTCTAATGAGTGTTCATGGATGTTCGCGTGTTTATCCCGAATTAAAAAAAAAGTGCACTAGACAGACACAACTAGATCCTAAGGATCATTCTGTGAATGGTCTGTGAGAGACGATGAAGTCCTTCTTCACCGGTCAGTCATCCCATTCAGTTCGTTCCACTAGCCGTAGCTTGCATTAGACATATAATTACTGAAGTTGGACTCTTCGTCGATGTTTTCTTGTTCTCCGTCCTAGAAAACTCGAACACTTCTAAAAGTTTTGCATGCCGACATTCTAAGGAAAAAATTGAAGAAACGCATCCAGAATCTTACCATGTGATTGCGCAGGTGCGACATAACCACTTGACCCGCTCTTCTTCTCCTTGGAAATTGCAAGTGTTGTTAGTGAGGATATGCCGACGAACGACGACGGTAGATCACAAGGCACAGCGATTGTTTGATATGGAGCAGTTGTCTCTCGCAAATGAATAATGTACAGGTCTTTGGCTGCTCTCCATTTACTCACTACCTGCAGATAAGTGCCGGGCATGAGTAGAATTTCATTCTCTGTCTTGTAGTAAGAGTGAGCTCGAATAACCTTGCCATTGATGCATTCAATGTTAAACAAGGTACGCACACCGTCGAGTCCGACAAATTCTTCCATGACGTTCATTGTCTCCGTGCACGAGCTCGCGCCCCACCATATTTGATCTTTATCGTATTGATCACTGAGATTTCCCTGAACACCACGCCAAATTGTACCTTTGAATGATGGGAGTTTGTGCAATGCAGTAAGAAAGAGTTTGAGATAGGAGAACCATAATATGAGAGTATCTCGATCCTGAGAGCGAAGCTTTTTGTTGAGAAGAGTGTAGAGGCTTGGATGGGGCTTGGGCCACTGCATCGTATACAGATGAATAGCGGCCGATTCATCAGGAGTGAGATCGTCCGATGGTTTGCGCGAGTTCCGCTTGGCTGTCTTGACCATGGAGTCAAGATTAGGAATTAATGTTTGAATTGGTTCAACAGCTTCTTCGAGTGATACCAGCGGTGCCTTTTCATAGCCTTGGATGGGTATCAGTGTTTGAGAAGGTTCTTCCTCAGCGTCAAGAAAGCGATCGACGACACTACCGTAAGCCATGTATGTGTATAAAGGCGTCTGACAAGTGATGAATGATGGTGACGATTGTACACTATCTGTTGTTTGTGGCGTCCTTTAGTGACACCTTTATAGGAATAACATGATCTTTATAAATGCGTTTTCCATACTTTTTTTTGCTTTTTCCTAAAAAATTTTCCTTAAAAAAAAGGCTTAAAAATGGAATTTAGGAAAATGCCGTTTATATTTTAAAAATAAAAAATTTTCCACACTTTCCTTAAAAGTTTGAGACGCCGGACACACTATGGAATTTTTTCTTAAGTAGAATTCACTTTGCTAAACAGACTGACAATATTCAACGTGCAGCTTGCTTAGCAGAGTGGAACCAAACTTCAAGAAAATCTTAGAAGTATTCCTCAAAGTATAGTAATGCTGACTAGTAGTATGCATTCTGCTTAGGAGAGTGAAGTTGGATAAAAAAATTCCCGAGTGAGTGCGGTGTCTCAAATTTGTAAGGAAAGTGTGGAAAATTTTTTATTTTTAAAATATAAACGCTAAAAAATTTTTAAGGAAAATTATTTAGGAAGATCACGAAAATTTGTCCAAAAATATTTTTAGAATCTTTAAGAAAAATGCATTTATAAATATCATGTATCCCTTTATAGATTCACGAGAAAAGACAATGTAAGAGAAAAAGAACAACGAGCGTAATGAAAGCTTTTTAGTTGCAGTGCGATGCCTCTAGTAACTTGGGAAAGAAAATTTTATTTGTTTCCATTTCATGCATTTACGATTCTTGGAATAATTATCAAATTATGAAAAATCAAATTATCGCAAAGCGTTGTAATAATTTGCGTTCAATAGGTTATTAGTTTTTTCAAAAGCTCTGGATTAAAAACAAGTATAAAAATACTAAAATGCGTCAAACATACAAGTATACCGAGAAAACAGATATGGAAACGAGATTTTTAAGCGTGCTACTTCTTCTTTTTGTCTACTCTTCTTCTTCTCCTTGGCTTGGACGTACTCAATGTATGATAACAGTCAAAAAATAAGCAAGGATATTTTTGAATTAGAGGAATGAAAGTAGGTCAACTTACCTTGAGAAAAAAATATTTTCGCACGTTTTGCATGCGACTGGTTTAAATAACAGATTTTGACAAATTGGACACATATACTCGTCCTGAATACCACTCACACGATTAGTTTCGCTCGAATTATAACGTTCGAATGATGCTATCTAACTGAAGTTGACTGTTTATCTCCATCAAATAAAAAAGTTTTGTTAAAATTTTTCTGACGGGCTTACGTCGACGGAGCGAGACAGATAGGTATACTATTGCATCTTTTCTTATGTAGGAATAGACAAAATGATACAATGTGTTCGCCTCGTTCTTTTTGTTCTCTCCACTTATTTAAACTTGTGTTCCTTCTTTTCTTGAATAAATAAAGCTTATAAGGACAGATAGATGCCCGATCGATGTAAAATTGTCCCGCAGAACTTTCATTAAGACAATTCTTCCTCTCAAACGGGAGTACTGTCACTTATAAGTGTGCAAATTAGACGCATCAGGCGAGGTCTTTTTTTAAGAATCTTCGGGTACTGCAGTTTATTACAAACGTTGCCTCACATGACGAAAAAGCAACCAATGGTAACAATGAAACTGTAGTCTCAAAGAAAGCTAATAGAAGCAGGAAAGGTATAGCGCAATTTCATCCGTAATTGCCTTATACGTAAATTTCAACGTAAGTCGTTACACTATCTGCTTCTTCATTTTAAGAACTAAATATCATTGCGTCTTCTTGAACGTGAGAAAAGATATGCTCCGAAGCGCCTGGGAGAAATTAATTATCAAAATGGTGCGCTCACTGTTTTATGTCAGTTATGAATGCAGCTTTCACATCTATCTGATACAATCGAAAGTGGTTCGAAAAATGTTTAGAAAACAATTTTTGAAATAAACCTGTCGGTAAAGACATAGACTAAAGTACAATGTGAGCGAATGTGTCTTCTAGCGGATCGCTACCAAAGGTTTAAAAAAATAGTTTGTCCAAGCTAAGAACTTGAGAACACATGAAAGAAATCTTTGTAAAAAAAACAGAAAAAATGGTGAGGATTACACTAAACGGAGGAGCAGCCTTGATCACGCCGTAGTCGTAGGTAGTCATGTAAAGAAAAGTTTGAATTAGAGCAGCAAATTTATGTTTGCTTTATTCCAGGAAGTTCAAAGTACCTTTAATTTCCATTATATTTGATTTACTCACTAATTACCTTCTAACGTGGCCTCTGTATAGTAGATTAATTTACTTTGTTTTCATGCAAAAAATGGTTTTCCTCATTGTGCAAAAAGAAAGTGGACAGACAGTTGCAGGTCTAATTTGAATATATCTTTATAAGGTTTATGGTACTTTGTCCTAATAGTTTGTTAGCAGAGCGCTCGTCGATGTCTCTGATGAGAAAAATATAAACTATCGCATTTGCAATCTTCGTACGAACACGTTCGGTAGCGATCCGGTAGAAAACACATTCGTTCACATTGTGCTTTAGTTAATCTATTTTCTCACTGGTTAGTTCCTTCAAAAGCTTCGATTTCATTCAATCTACCTTTAGTTCAGATCAGGCATGCAACCATCCCAAGCTATGGCTGACCGAACATGTTTGAGAACGGTTTGGTGACCGAACATGTTCGGTGCATGCCTATTTCTAATGTATTTTCCTTCTCTGTCGTTGGCAATTAATTTACAATCATGCACCACTATAAGAAGCACTGATTCTTATAGTGGTAAAGAAGGAACACAAGTTTAAATTAGTGAAGAGAACAAAACGAAAGAGGCGCACCCATTATATTTTGTCAACATAGCTCCAAACCTAAAACCTTACAGAAAAGTATAGATGTTGTTATTTTTGCACAGCAGATAAATTGCATATAAAATCGGATTTTCTTGTTTACCATTATAATCGCTTCATCGGCTTGGTTCCGGTTAAATCAAAATTTTGTTTCTTGTTTCCTTTTTTGAAAAGCGTACCTTGCGAGTTTCGTAGTCGACTGCATGGTACGGTAAGACTCGTATATATGTGTGTGGAACGTTATTTCTTCTTATAAAAAAAACAAATTTTCTTCAAATATTCATCTATTTTCTCCTTTCACACTTAAAACAAGATTTTCCTATTATCTTGTCAGCTGATTTTAATGTTCGTACAATTAAACCTCTAGTATTAGTAGGGTTACGCTCTTTAATAGATGCATTTAACCTTACTAATGCTTTCTCTATTCCTACAATAGTTAAAAATACATTTATTGACAATGTGTTCTTTTCATCAGCTCTTCCTTCTCCGAGTGCGACCATTTTTCCTTGTTCAGGCAAGTCTCCGCACTATGTCTTATCTTGTTCTTTTTTATATGAAATAAAATTGAAATGTGCTTTTCGTCAAGTATATGACTATGAAAATATAAATATGTGTTTTTTCCCGTCAAAAATTTATTGTATAGATCTAGTATTTTGTGAAAACTGCGTAGGACTTGTCCGTTTTCCGAAGGAAAAAGAAATTTGAAGTATAAAGTTTATATACGATGATTTTTATGATTTGCAGAGGGTTTTTTCCAGTAGCTCTAAACACCGTATCAGAAGTTTTAAAGTTTCGGCGTGAAAATGTGATTGATCAAATTTCAATATATATATTAAACTTGGTGTTTACAGCTACTGAGTGGATTAGCAACAGACAGTACATTTTGATCTGATGTTGATTTAAGCTATTTATTTAAATAAATATAAAGTATAGAGCTCTAGTGTTACTAATTCGGCGTTGCCATTATACAGTGAACACAAGGCCTGCAATATAGATAGAAAACAGCATCAAAAATTGAATGAATAAGTGAAATTAATAAAACAGACTCGTTGTTTTAGAATTACAGAGAAGATTTTACAAATAGAAAAACATTTTCGGCTTCAGTAAAATATGGCACACACATTAGAAAAAGAAAAAGACAAGGTTTAGCACGGAAAACTTGTTTAGCTTGTTACAAAACGTTTAGTTTCACATATATAGACAGTAATCGCTTTGTAAACTTTAACATATTGTTCAAAGTTGGAAGAATGAGAAGGAGAAGATAGTAGAAGGATATTCATATCTATACTCAGATCAGGATCACACTCGTGTAATGTGTCAAATAATGTTTTTCGAGCAATAGTGTAGTCAGGACATTGCAGAAAGAAATGTTCTACTGTTTCCAAATCAGAGCATGAACAGAATTGTAAATTTGGTGTTTTATCGATTTTTCTACGGTATAAATCATGTCCGAGTGTAGAGAGATCTGCTCGCATCTGATGAAACACAATATCTGCTCTTCTATTTACATCTTTCACTATTGGTTTCTTCTTAGGTATAGCTTTTAACTCATCCCATAGTTTTTTAAATTTTCTCATAGAACTGGCCATTCGCAATTTTATATGGAGTTGATTCCATAACTTTATGGTTAAAGGAAAAAATGAAAGATCATATGCTCTTGTTTGTTTGCTGGGTTTGCGTTTTGCTGTCACATTTTCCTGAATTATAAATACATCCCGATTCTGAGACCTCTGATGTTATTAGACACAAGTTTTAAAAAACTATTGTTACCATATTTCTTTTACTGTTATATTATGTGTTATTGATTTTATTACGATCTTAGTAATTTTTATATGGTTTTGAAGTTTTCGCGTATTAGTTACTGATGTCAACTTACTTTTCCCTCTTATTTTCTCATTTACAGTCTAGTTTCTTGTGATTCGTTAAGAAGGAGCTTTACGAAAAAGCATTTTGTCCTGACTTTTTCAACTCACTTTTAACAACTGCTATTTATAATACAAACTCTACTTCAGACAACAACTTGATTGTATCAAACACAGAACCCACACGCTGCCCGTTATCGATATCGCAGATGAACCACTTTGTTGCTATAGCGGTGAACGTTGAAGCTGGCAGAGTACGACAAATTCCATTATGTACCGTCAACCATTTTTATTTACTTTGAACTTTATGATGCCGTTGTTAAGTAAAAAAATTAAGTTGGCTTTTTCAAGTAAATTGTTGCGTAAATATTACTTATTTGGAAGAAAACTAATATTGGCAAACTGTAATAACGGGACGACGCAGAAAAATATAAGAAGGGAAAATAGACTGATAAAGCGTGGATTCATCTGCCAACAGGAGTGACTATATAACGAAGCCGGTGGGAAAACTTCGTTTCCCAGAGAAGTCAAGAACGTGGCATCATCACATATGTTGGTAGCAAAATTAAAGGAAAATTCAGGAGCTCATCAAGTGTAATAGAGAAGTGACGGGAGATTCAGGTGATGAGATTTTTAACAAATTTCTTGGTTATCGAATGGAAAAACTGCGACTCTATAGCTGTTGTCGGTCAAAAGCTATTTAAAAATGAATTTTGTGGACACACTGTAATATAGGCCGAGAAATATCTAAAAATGGATTAAAATAACTGCTAATTAGTACCGTTTTGGAAAAGCAAATACAGGATTTTGTAGTGCTTGAAAATCTCTGTCATATGATATATTCCTTCACGATCTCCAAGACATCGTAACTTACAAATAAAAGTGTAAGGCACTTGAGTAACACTAGTTGGTATTCATTTGCAGTTATAATTATTATCTAATACCTTGAAATCTAATTTCAAAATTTTCTTTTATGAAACTATAACCATTGATCACTGGCTCTCAAACTATGCATGAATGACGTTTCTATGATTATTTTGATCGAATTGCAAGCTTTGCAAAAGAAGGACTAGCAGTTCAATTGTTAATTAGAGTTTACAGTAATTAATTTATAACACTGTCGACACTTGATCAAATTTTGTTTTATTCCATAGCCATATCAGTGAAGGTGTTCTCTAGAAACTGACCAACTTTGAAGGTATGGTTTAAGGAGAGGACATCTCCCCTTAAGTACAGGCACAAAATCTAGAATTGTTTTGTTCTGTGTAATCAACAATATATTTAAAAAATATAAAGAAAATATTGAACGATATTCTTCTCATATAAAGCTCGAAGATGTTTCGTTGTGTTTGTTCTTTCCTTCCTCTGCTTGAGTTATATCGGCTTTGTTCTGTTCAAGTCAGATGCTGGTAATATCCTATAAACAATATATCTGTGCAAACACGAATATTTTCTTCATGTGTTAGATTCCTGTTGAATAGTGAAAGTCGTTTGATGCTTTCATAATCAATTGCTTCTTTCTGTTTTATCCTTATCTCTCTCAATCAACCGTCACTAATACATTCAAACTCATTTTAAACGCTTTAAAATCACTATTATATAGAAGTTATTTTGGGTTATTAACACTAGAACGCCCGGAAATTTTCATGACCTAGAACGTCCAAAGCGGTCATTCTGACCGTTACTTTATTTTTAAAATTTTATTCTTAAAAATGGTTTTAAATTAAAAAATGAATTAAAAATTCTGCAAAAAATAATTTTTGTGAGACAAATTAAAAGTTATGACATCATTTTATTTTTAAGTAAATTGTATACAGTTTGTTTTATTAAGGATAAAAATCACAAACCGGTCAAAATGACCGCTATCGGCGTTCTAGTGTTAAAGAGACTGTCTCAATGAACTCAGAACCTTACAGTATCAGCACTACTGCTCTTCACATGAAAAATGGAGAATACAGTGGACAGATCAGATATACTGTACTATAGGAAGTTCATCATTTCAACAATGTCCATGAGTCATTTCTATCAATCGAATTTTGATCTTATATAGTCGTACAACAGTGTTCTCATTCAGTTTATGTGTACATATTGTATATATATATGTATGCGTACAGCTCCTTATACTAACCATTCTGTCAAAACATTTGTTATTATCATATTTACACACAGAGTAGTGAACTTTAAAAGTAGCAGACAATATGTTATAACAGGTGTTTATGAATAAATTTCTTATTCTGTTTCTATGCTCTGCTGATGCCATCGGAGAAAGGAAAAAACGCAACTGTTTTTCTTCCCTCTGAGAAAAAGAGAGAGAGAGAGAGACAGTAGAAAAATATACCGTTTTTTTTCTTTCGCTTTCACTTTAACGGTAAATTTTTCATTGGACCTAAAAAACTGATTTCCTATTGGAAATAAAAAAACAGAAAAAAAGAAATTCATGAGAGTGTCAATAAGCGTATCTAGAGGTAATAGTAGTGTTGGTATCTCTCTCTTCCTTTTTCTTGTATTGACATATCACACCTGACATCAAATATTATTATTAATAATTAACGATTGCTATCTGACTTATTTTTTACAAGATAATAGCGAAGAAACGTAAGTTAGAAATTGTTCGAATATTAAATCCACTTCTCATTCGGCATTGTTTAAGATAGTTTTTTATTTCTGAACATCATAACCACTTTTGTTTCATCATATTTGTTGAAGATATTCGGATAAGACTGAGAATGTCTTACTATAACCACACATGTTTCCTTCTCTCTCTGTTTCTCTCTCCTTTCCTACAACATCTCTCATATGATCATCTTTTCATTATTGTCATGTCCGCATTATCCTTGTTTGAATGCTTACATCAGTACACCAGTATTCAAAATAACGATAAATTAGAAGTAGAAAAATAAAACGTTTTCACGCTTATTTCGTTTTGGATATTTGTCACCACCCACCCATCCGATTTTATTATCATCTCACGCTTTGTTGTTACAATCGGACATTATATCATATATGATGTTTTTTGAATAAACATTAAACTTATGTATGTCTTTTAGTTTGTTTTGATAAAGAGAATATTGATAATAAATTGTTTCACATGATAATATACTTGTCTATTGAATGAAAAGATGTGCCAAATCGAGCACAGTGTTGTCTAATTGTCGATAATCTAAATTGACGTATTATTGTCTTTGGATTTGCAAAACTGTTATTCGTTTTTAGTTAAGAGTACTCCCACAGAGGTTTAGACTCATGTTTATCATTTGTTGGATACATATTTGATTTGATCTATACGTCTACCTGCATACCTCATAGTATTTAGCATTGCATCAAGCATTTTCAACAGTTTCTTAGAAAAATACAGAGAAAACGCTAAAATCTCTACAATTTTTCCAAAATCCTCACTGATTTTCACATAAACAAGTCGAATGTTTTAGAAGACATAGTGATCTTATAAAATCATGTCACCTTTTTAAATCAATTCGTTCTATAGTTCTATAAACTAAAATTTTTTTAAGTTATTTTTATTGAAAAAAAGATATAAGACACTCGCCTTTAAAGAGTAGAAAGAGCAAGTTTTAGAATTACAGTATCAAAAATCTATATGGCATTTCTAGTGTTTTTCCTTCAGTTTTACCCGGTTTTCTAATACATTTTCGTATGAAGCAATCATTCTCAATAGCTGAATTAAATCTTGTGTTCATAAATGAATTAATTCTCAAAAAAGAAATAAACGGCCTGTGCACGTAACTCCTATGACAGAAATGTAATAGTGTTACTTTTTTTGCTCATTTTGTTTTGACTATCACTTCAAAACTAACAGTCGTAGAGAGTTCGGAGACGTTTTAAATTAAAGAAAAAACTGTTTTCTACATTTTGAGATCTGTTTAGACTCTAGAAAATCTATCTTAAAAAACTGTAATTCAAATGCTGAGATCTGCTTTTTAAGAATTGAAACTAAAGATGTAGATCTTAGCATTTTGACCACAGTTCTTTTAAGATATATTTCCGAGGATCTGATCAGATCTCAAAATGTAGAAAATAATTTTTTCTATAATTTAAAACGTCTTCGAACTCTCTACGACTTCTAGCTTTGGAGTTATAGTCAAGACAAAATGAGCAAAACAAGTAACGCTGTGACATCTCTGCCATAGGTGTTACGTGGACAAGTCATAAGATTCTTTTTTCTTTTATTTTTTATTGTTTCTGTTTAATACATTCTATTATCAAAATTCTCATATTTCACCGTTAATGCACTTATTTACTCACAATAGAATAGAAATAATAATAAAGTAAAAACTATCTCTTTTACATCATGTACATCCCTATCCTCTCTAAGGAAAAAATTTACTGTTGTGTGTTATAGTAAAGAAAAAAAATGCCAACATTTGAAACGGGTGATCCTGGTGGTATAATTAGTAAAAATGATCGTAATGATCGTGTCGAATGTTATGGTTGTAATTATAAAATTGAAGAACGTTATTATTTAATGGCTATTGATAAAATATGGCATTTATCATGTTTAAGATGTTTTGATTGTAATCAATCATTAGAAAAAGAGGTGACATGTTTTTCTCGAGATAAACAAATTTATTGTAAAGATGATTATATCAAGTAAATGTTTTTTTATTTTCTATATCTATTGTTTCTATTCAATCTATATATACTTTAGACGTTATTGTCGTCGAATATGTTCTCGTTGTCATATGTTAATTCGTCCAAATGAATTAATAATGCGTGCAAAACAGTATATATATCATTTAGAATGTTTTTCATGTATATCATGTAATCATCGATTACATCCCGGTAAGTGAATACAATATCTCATGAGACATTTTTATATATCTCATTATTCTTATTTAAGGTGATGAATTTGGTTTAAAAGATGATGAATTATTTTGTCGTGTACATTATTATGAATATGAATTATATTTACCATCTTCTTCTATAAATCATCTATCATCACTACCACCATCATCATCATCAAAATTATCTACATGTTTAAATTCGACACAGTATTCACCATTACCATTTATGTCTGATGAATCCGATTATTATTCTTTGCCATTGCAAACAACATCTGATGGAAATAATAGTTGTAGAACAACAAATTCAAAAATAACATTAACAATAGCAAATAAACGTGCAAGAAAACGAAAAATTAATAGACAAGAAATACCAGATTATATTACAACATCATCGTCACCATCATCAATCGGTAAGATTCAATAAATTCACTTTATCAAAGAGAAAATTGAATGAATTGAGAAGAAAAGTCAGATGTTTAGATAAGAAGACTTCATTTTGTACAGTACATGTATGAAATAATCAATTGTCAATTGTTTTACATTTTTTTTCACACTTTCTGAATAGAAAAATTGTCTATTCATATTTGTTCATAAGTAACTGTTATTAAAATGTTGATCAAGATACCATCATCCACATTACTTATCGACATGTTCTCTATGATTTGTGTAGTAGCTTAAGTGATACTTTAAAAATCATTAAACTGATTGATCACCAAATTACAATAGATCTTCTTAGAAAAATTAAACATAATGTTTACTATACATAAATTATTATTATCTTAGAAAATGATTTGACAAAATTAATATTAGAATTCTTGAATTTTTTCATCCGCTGTAATTTGATCTTCTTATACTTATTAAGCTCTATACTGATGTATCTATTGTTATACGTTGCCTATATAGACTTACTAGGAAAGTTGCGGAACTTTTCATTTTGTAGAGAAATATTTTCTCTTGAAAATTTAGCTGTGAAGAAAAAACAATTTAAAATTATTTCTAGCAAAAATGTGAGTATTCTAAAATGCACTTAAGTTAGAAAAAGACCTGTGTTTTTTTTCTTCTGAATTCAGTGCATGTTAAAATATTCATATTTATATCACAGATAACGTTAAAATTTTTCTACTTATATGAGATTGTAGTTCAAACATTTCTCTACAAAATGAGCTGTTCTGTGACTCTGAGTCATTTTTTATAGACAACTTATAACAATTTTCGTGGAAGTCTTAACATCAGTTTTTTAACTGATGCACGCAGCATCTAAAAACGTATTGTTCAAGATAAACATCGTGCATCACTTCTTTACATATGTTTTTATCGTTTCTTCTAATACAAGTAACACGTCAAAAGCAATTAAAAACAGATAGACAGATCGATCTCTGTCCTTTTCTCATTTTTAGCAGTCATTTTCATCTATTGTCTCTTATGTTTAGTTTATTCTCCGTGAAATATGCAGGATCTGTGATTTTCCGAAAACAAGCGTTCTTTAAAATTGATGATTTTGTTGAATGATCCGTTAAAATTTTGTACACTATAGTGTTCGTAGGGTGACAAGAACAGTACTATCTTTTCTCATTCAGACTACTACATTCTTTACAGTAGAAGTGATGGTAAACTAATTCTCTCTATTTGTATCAATAGACTTTCAATATTTCACACTTGTTTTCAATACTTGTTCTTCTTGAACAATTTGTTATTAAGATATTCAAGTGATATATATACTTGAACAATAAGGATTAAAGTAAATTGTTAACATACTCAAGTGATCATCTAAAACTAAAAATACAATAACACTTGAACTACAATTACATTGCCTAATTTTTTTTTCGTCAATAAATTCAATTATTAATTGTTTTTTAATGTCAATAATCGTTTGGATGAATGAATACTTATCTTGTTCACTATTTTATCCCGTCAATTTTTCTAAAAGATCAGTGTTTGTCATTTTTTGTTGTTGTTGTTTTTTCAGATCCAAATGCAGATTTATTTTCATTGGACGGTTATTATTTGGATGATGTTGAAAATTCATTACTCAATGATCCATCGTCTCTATCTCAACAACAGCATTCACATCATAATCATAGTCATCATCAAAGACAAAAACGTGTGAGAACAAGTTTTAAACATCATCAATTAAGATGTATGAGATCCTATTTTAATTTAAATCATAATCCAGATGCAAAAGATTTAAAAAATTTAGCAGAAAAAACTGGTCTACAAAAACGTGTATTACAAGTAAGTAGATAAAATAAATATATAACATTCAAATCTATATGAAATTTATTATGTAAAAATTAATGGATTTTAAATTAAATTTTAGGTTTGGTTTCAAAATGCTCGAGCCAAATTTCGTCGTAGTTCATCACGAACTGATTCTAAAAATGCTACAACTAATAGTAACAGTAGAAATAATAATACTTCTGATATAGATGGTAATCCATCATCAATAAGAAATTCTTCATCATCTAAAATTAGTTATGGTGAAGATTCGTCAAATATGTCATCACTAGCCGAATCTGAAAAGACATCATCTCTAATAATGAGCGAATCTGAAACATATGGATCAACGTGAGAGAATTGAAATTTATACGCACAAGTCAATAAAAAGAAAAAAGAGAAGAAAATAAAAAACGTTCTTATTTTGCATTTAAAAATATTCTCGTTTTTATACAAAAAAAAAGAAAAGAAAATTCTAGTCATTTATTTAAAACGTGTTGAGTAGCTGCGATTTTGTGTTTTTTTATTTGTCCATTTGTTTTCTTGATGTTTTTATTATATAAAAGAAAAGAAATATATATAGTCTGACAATATAGTAAAAAAGAATCACATTATAAAACTTTATCAGTGTTCATTATTAGACTCATTAAATGTAAAATAGTATACCATTGACGTGACTAGCTAATTCTGCTACCGCAAGGGAATTCCGTAACGTTTTCTCTTCATTTTGTTGTGTCGATATAGACCAAACCGAACGATGCAGAGAGTCATGAGACGTCTTAAATTGAAGAGAAAAGTCTTATGAACATTTTAAAACGTATCTGTACTCCCAAAAAACTACCTCTTTTTGAAGATCGTAATAAAATATTGAATTTCGAAAAATTCACATTCTTCAGAATCGAAAAGTAGTACTCAATGTTTTATTACGATCCTCAGAAAGAGGTAGTTTTCTGGGAGTACAGATACGTTTTAAAATGTTCATAAGACTTTTCTCTTCAATTTAAGACGTCTCATGACTTTCTGTATAATTTGGTTTGGTCTATATCGACACAATAAAATGAAGAAAAAACGTTACGGAATTTCTTTGCGGTAGGTAGCAAAGTTAGCTGACCACACCGATTGAAGAGAATAGTGTTTAACCGATAAAGAATTAAGACAAACATTTTTTGAGACTAAAAAAATCAATTTAGTAATTAGAAATAAAACAAAAAGCGTTGCTCGCCTAATATCATGTTGTGAATATTATTTTTTACTAAAACAATGTGTATGCAAGTGTCAAAAATCGAATTAGAGCTTATTTAGAAGAATATGACCTTTATTTTTTGTTCTCGTCAAGATAAGGGTAGAGTAGTGTTTTTGTTCGTTATAGAATGCATCTTTTTGAAATGTTATAATAATAACAATAGAAAGATCAGTAAGTGTACACTTTACAAACTCAATTTCTATAGATGAAATCAAAATGTATCTGAAAAAAAAGAGAGAAGAAAAAGAATAACAAATAGTTGAACATTTATCTAAGATTTGGTAAGAATTATAAATACTATCATTATGTTTGTCTAAATTAAACGATGACAATAGTTAAAAATCATATTCATAATTTTATGATATAAATAGAACTAATAGTTAACCTTCATAACAGCTGTACTAATAGATCATAGAGAGTCAGTTAGTTTCTAAGATGTTTCGATATTTTTGAAACATATTCATATTGAATACAAAAGACGATTTACTATAGTATAAAAAATTATTGATATCTTTTTACAGGTGAAATCGTTATACATAAATTAGTAATTAAAATTTTTGATACATTGTTTTTTTTGCTCAAAAATGTGTTAATTGAAGTGGAAATTGAAATGATATCGTATATATATAAATATTTGATATGAAGCAGAACAATCTTTCACCGTTACTGTGTTCTGTTATATTCAACAGGTCAATAAAATTTTATATAAAATGCATCATTGATAATTTGAATATAAGTGAGAGACAGAAACGATATCAGATTATTGAGTATTCATAGAAAGAATAGATAGATATACATCGACATATACATCGTCACAAGATTAAAATGTTGGATAATGTTTTTATCAATAAATATCGGTTTATTATTGATTACACCAATATATAAATGATTAAAATTAACATGACGCTAGAGATTAATTGACATTGTAGTAAAATAGTGTCACATTATTAAAATTATACACAGAAACATCTTGTCATAGTTTCTCTGAGCAGGACTCGACAAGTCCAAATCACATTTATTTAAAAACTCAGACTTGACTTGGACTAGAAAATTGGGTGACGTTGACTCGAGTTATTCATTGAAAAAAATTTTCATCTGTTTTTACAAAAAATTTACAATTTATAAGATTAAATTTTCACTTATAACTTTCATCCTAATTGAATAGATTGCATCAGAACGATTTTTTTTTGTGCATAAAAACTAGGAACTAGATATTGTATCATAAAAAATTGTTGTAAACGTTGTTTATAAAAATAAACAGAAACCGAACAAATGACAAAAATAACTTGACTCGACTTGAAACCGCTACGAAATGAGTCGCTCGACTCGAAAAGTGGCTTGGCTCGCCTGGCTCTGTCTCTAAGTATGTCTAAAATTCTTTCTCAGTTCCTCTTTTAATATTCGCTTCATAAATTACTCTAGATTGCATACAAAACTGCAAAAGAATTTACAAACGTCTGCATGCACAACATCAAATTAATTATCTTTTTTCTTTTCTCGATAAAAAGCAGATTAAAGCAAAAGTTTACTGGCAACATGTTGTTTCTAGCTCATATTGTATCCATATTCTCTAGATATCTTTCTGAGTTTAACTTACATAAAAAATCGTCATTTCTTTCTATTGCATGTTGATGTCAAATCGTATTAATCTACGAGCAGCAGATTTTCATTTTTAACATAAAACTATTTTAAGTAACCTTATTAAATGAAATATTATTTTAAAGAGACATACACGTGACTATAGTATATTACGTGCCATTCTTATCAAAGAAGCTTAAACAATTTAATGATGTGTGCTTTTATTTTAATTGGACTAATTGCAGAGTTGACGTGCTTGTCTTAATATATATATATATGAAAAAAAAAGAAGAAATGAGAAAAAGAATCGATCATGTGGACACTGAGGAAAGAAAGAGGTCATATTTCATGGAGAAAAAAAAAAAAAAGAAAAAAAGTTCTTGTTTCTGTTGTCAACGGTGAGTCTGTTTTTTTTCCTCTCGTGATTACTAAGTAGTTTATAGGTGGTCTTGATAACGAATAAAAAAAAGGAAAAAGAACAAACTTCCGGAATTAATCAATTGTTAGAGATATTTTACTTTGTTTGAAAAAAAAAGAAAGGAATGTTTCACAATGGGCATCTAGTGAGGATGAGAGTTCAGATAGTACCCAGATTCATGTTCATTTATTTTTTTTCAAATAGGAAGGGAATAACAAAGACAATGAGCTAACGATCAATCTGTAAACGTTACATAGGAAAAACAAACAGTAAATGAAAAGGAGAAAAAATCGAGTGTGAATGAACAAGAAGTTGAGTACAATAATGAGAAAAAATGTTAAAGATTACAATCATATCGAAAAATTTTAGTTTTTCCCTTTTCTTGATTTTAATTTGATTTAAGATTTATGTATTTTATCAAAGTAACAAAGAAGAACATGTAACATCCGGCATTGAAGCGACAAAATCCACTATCTTAGCACCAGGAGTTATTACAGCTAATATAAGCGAAAAAGCAATAAAATAAACAAGTCAATAACATGAAAGAAACAAGATAATCAGAAGACATCAATGTAGATGTTGAGAGCATTCGTAAAACGAAAAAGTGAAGAACATTCATGCTACTAAATAATTTATTCAACTTCTTAAGGATATGTGCTAGAAGAGAGGCTGTAAAAAATATTTTTCCTATATGAATAATTTTGACCTTAGTAGTGGGTGTTATTTCAGTAAAGCGCCTTGTTGTGTCCGAAGTAGATTCGAAACTTGAGAATATCGTCTTATCATCTTTTATTTTCAATAAAAAAAGTGAGTAGATGAGCACATTTTCTTAGTATCTTTTCATTGTCTATGTATCGGGTACTTGAGAAGTTCTATATCTCTAACTCATCACTACACACATCTTTTCCTTCTTGTTCTCCTCGATGTCTAGATAAACCTGTCTGCTCGCTTAGATCATGCCAGAAAGATTTTGATAGCTAACTGACAATCTTTCCAATATGTATGTGAACCAGAGCTGGGCAGCTCCGGCTCCGGAGCTGAACGGAAAGCGTTGAGTTCAGAGCCGGAGCTGGTGTGCGAATGATGATGTCCGCGTTCGATCGAGGTAAAAATGACACCCTTACGGCAGATAGTTATATGAGTGTGTGCACTGATGACACGTTAATATATGCTGCCTCAGTCTTGACCTTCTTCTACTAAATGTAACGCTTTCGAAAGAAGATTTTTTATGCATATATCATGCAGTTATAGACTATATTTGTATTTGTAAAACGATTTTCATTTTCATATTTTCCCTTAGTTGAAAGCCTAGGAAATTCAATCGCAAGAAAAACAAGGAATGATGAGCATCTTTTGGAGCGGGAGCTGGATGTAAAAGCTCTAAGAGAGATGCCGGACAGAAAAACTTGAAGCTGGAGTCGGGAGGGATCGGAGCTGCCCATCTCTGATGTGAACGACATGAACAAACTGCGAATTATGGCTAATTTTTCAATCAGAGATACTTTTGATTTCTCCTTCAAGATTGTAAGCTCTGATAGCCTGACTACAGAACTATGTCTTTAAATTAACAAGTGATCGTAAGAGTGTCACGAACGTACACACATAATGTATAACCATCCATAAAAAAAAAATTTGTCTGTCCGCATGCCGTTTACACATATACAGTGTTAATAATCATAAAGTAAATGTCTTATTGTTCTCTCTTGCTCTTCTTTTTTATTTGTTCAAAATATTGTTCAATTTACTTAGAATAACTATTTGTTCATTACTTACATACATTGGTATATGCCTTTTCTTTGGTAAATAGTTTACCATTGTATATATTAAACGGTTAAAAATACACAAATTTTCACACCAATATTATTTTTTCTATTCACTACTATTGTTTAAAGTAAAGACCAACAACGTCACTTTTACTTATCATTGAGAAAAGAAGCAAAACGAGTTACTAAGATACTCTTAGATTTTAATCAAATAAAACATTTTTTGAAAATGCAGTTGAATTTAACGAACATCGTGACAGCTTTTCGTGCAAAAATATGAATTCATTTGGCATTTTAAGTTCATTTTTTTGCTTTCATAGTATAATGAGAATTATAGAATTAAAAGAAATGAACAATGTCTCTTGCACACGAAAGCACAGCAAATTCTGTTTATTCTTCTGTGGTGAGTCAATCTACCGTCTATAAGTTAAAATTCATCATATTTGTTTATAAAACAACATTGAACACACCATACGATCTCTTTTAATTTTAACCGTCTAGTCCAACCAATTATCAAAGTTTTTAATGTAAATATTATGAATGTTGCGTGTGTTTCTACGAAATCAATTGAATAGTTTATTATTTGATCTTTTCTCTTCTCTTATATATGCCATACATTTTGATTGAATAGTATGTTTTCTAATGAACATATATATACATGCACACACACTTTCTCACACTCAATCGTTTTCTTATTTTCTTTCTTCTTCTGTTCTCTACCTGTTCGAAATCAAACGTTCACATCATTATTATCACTACTAACAGTGCCATATCAACATCAAGAAAAGAAGATGAACACATGAAATAACAAAAACTATGTACTGCCTTATTTCGTAGCAAAAAAAACAAAAAACAAAATCAGTTGAACTCGGTATGTCAGTTGTGCTAAGAATGACAAATGAAAAAAACAGAAAAGTAAAATATCACAAAAAAGAAGAAGCACAAAAATGGAAGAAATTTGTTTTTGAGTATATTTATATATATATACTTCCTGTTTTTGATTCGTATCCTAAGTATAATCATCGATATAAGATGTTAAATGATGATATTCGGTGTCCGTAACAGAATCTCGACTTAGATCACCATGTCCACCTAAATCACCATCACTCGAATGATCATCTGTTAGCATGTCAAGTAGTTCAGTTTCCTTCCGATTTAATATGATCGTATCCTCAGGGTTTCTATTAATAATTGAGGATGAGATAGATGTAGAAGATGATGATGATGAGCCGTCTTGTTTCGTATCTTGATCTTGAAGTAAACTACGACGATATTTTGCACGAGCATTTTGAAACCAGACCTATATACAAAAAAATATTTACTTATAAAATTGAACAAATCTATTAATCCATTTTCTTTTTTGTTTGTTATTGACGTCTCACCTGTAGGACACGTTTTGATAAACCTGTTTTTTGTGCTAAACTTTTTAAATCTTTTGCATCTGGATTATGATTACTAGTAAAAAATGTTTTCATAATACGTAATTGATGATGTTTAAAACTTGTACGCATTCGTTTTTGTCGTTGTTGCTGTTGTTGATGAGCAGTTTGCGAAGATGATGAGTTGAGAATTTGTTGTTGGAATAAAAATGTTTCGGTTAATATTGAATTTTCACGATTATCCGAAAATAGGCCTATTAAAAGAATGAAGACAAAAGTCGTTAGAATTTTTTGAAGAAATTGTCTAGTAAGTATGAAACGTTTATAACATATTTTATCTATCTAAGAGTTTGCTTGTTCGTCCTTGTATTCTTCTCATTCATCCAACATTCAGTTTTACGGTAAGTGTTGCATGATTTGACTGTATGATGTAGAGACCATGTGCAAATGAGAGTATTGCGTTATTAGTCGAACCCGAAGATGACAGTCCTTAAAAAAATGTATCATTTTTACTACTTGGTAGGCGGAGAGTTGGTATAAACTTTTTTATTTGAAAATGAAGAAAAAAAATCTTAATACGAAACGAAATCACGATCCAATGGGTTACATTGTATCAGTTTACAAAAGAGTCTTAAAGAACGGATGAGCAGGAAAGATAATAACAGACATATAAAATAATAAAAAAGAGAATTGGAGAGAGCAAGAAAAAAATTGATCATTAAGTACAGAGGAATATGATTAAAGAACCGAAATATTATAGTAGATGTTGAAGAGTAGAGCAGTTGTGGTGATCAGATGACCCTATGAGCAAGAGAGAGACAACTTCCAATGGATTCGTACAGATATGAGATAGAAATGCATCAATTTCGATATCAAAATATAGAAACTCAGGCAGGTCCTTAAAAATGTTTAGTGTCCGAGATAAAGAGGCTACGAGTTGAATTTTACATTACTAGTTTCTTCAGTATTGTAGTCATTTTTGATGTGGATGGTGGATGATGGTACTCTCTAGAAAAAATGTGTCCAACAGAATCCTTTTAGGGTTCCAGAATTTATGAACCTTTTACAGGTCAAAGACACAAAATATGGTTCTATCTCGTACCTTTTTTTGACTGGAACCTTAAAAAAGGTGCGAGATAGAACCATATTTTGTGTCTTGCACCTTTAAAGGGTTCATAAAATGCTACTCAATTCTAAAATCCTAGAAGATTCTATTCGGCCCCTTTGTTTTTCTAGAGAGTATTCAAAATGAACTGCAGATATGTAAGCAATGTGTATTTGCATAAGAAATTGGGATATATTTTTTTCTTAAAATCTTGCGCATATGTTCTCCAGTATATGGGCAACTATTATGTGCGTTTCTCAACGATTCTCTTCGTTTAATTTTCGAACAAGTTAATACAGTAGAGCAATAGCCAGTTAATAATTCGGATGAATGCACTATTTATATATCAATGGATTATCTTTTGGATAGAGAGAAATATTCGTTAATAATGAAATGAATTTCTAAAAGAGCGTAGAGAACAGAGGAATAAACTACTCAAAGTTCTTTAAACATCATGATGAATTTAAGAACGGTATATCACTTCTTTCTTATAAAAGTACGTCTCGAATGCTCAATCATAAGTCAAGATTATAAACACAAATGTGTCTCGATGTTCAGACCCTATCGTTCGTTCCCTATTTCACTTTTTCTTCTACGCATATCCTCTCTATTTTGTTTTTGAATAGATAATGTATTTCTTGATAAATATGTGTCAATCTTGTTCCACACCTCTATGTGAACAATACACATACACACACACAAACAACGACGGATATTGATTTACTTATTTGAGGCGCGTAATTATCTTCACTTTTTTTTTAAAACTCAATCTTTAGATAAATAATATATATCCTTCATTTATTTATTTAGTTTTACCTGTTGTTGAATGATGAATATTATAATCGTTTTCAACATCATTTAACTTTCGTTTTCTACTCTGCTGTTGTCTATTGGATTTTATTGGAAAATATTGTTGTGTTGTATTTAAATCGGTCATAATAAATTCAGATGATGGTAGTTGTGGTGATGATTTAAGTTGTTGTTCGATAAATGATGATGGTAACAATAATGAATCGTCAAAAATTGATGATGATTGTTCAAAATGTGATCGACATAGTAAGAATGAATCACGTAAACCATATTCATCACCAGGTTTTAATAATTGTTGACATAAACAACATGAAAAACAATTAATATGATATAAATAATCGCATGCACGCATAATTAAATCATTAGGTGTCAATGATTGATGACATTTTTGACAACGATAACGACCAGAATATCTAAAGAAAATATAAAATTTTTTGTCCGATATTTGAATATTAATATTGAAAAGAGAAAAAAAAACATTAAAAGAGTTTTAGGAGATCATATTTTCTTCTAAAGATTAAGAATTATCGATCTGTTTACTTTGATTCTCTATTCTGTGTAATATTGAACAGTCATGTCAGACAAAAAGATCAAAAAACACTTTTGTAAGAGTTTTTTTTCTTTTTTTTCTTTTTTGTTATTTCTCATTTATCACCATCGGACAAAACACACAATTGTCAATCATCATCATTATCATTTATTGAGTTGATTTGTTCCAATATCTAGTTGAGGTTGAGCTCTGTGAACCCATATCAAATAACTATGTGATCATGATTATTCGTTGTTGTCGTTATGCATCATATAAAAATTTGAAATATACAAATTCTATCTCTTACAACAGATGGTTAACTATAGTAAAAATAGTCCTGCTGTTACGAAATACAATATACTCAATGGGCGGTGAATAGTCAACTATAGTCTTTCGAAAGGATAAATCACTTTGAGACAGATTTAAAACAAAAAAAAAAAAAAAATTTTTTTTTTTCGTTTTTCAATTCAAAATAAAGAAAAACAAAACAATTATAGATTATGATCAATATATAAATAGATTAAGACGAAAAGCATGTTCTATACTTGGAAATGAAATGAATATGCACACAGGTTAAGACAAATTTAGACGTTGAACACACACTGTGAAAAAGATAAACCTTATCAGAATAAAAAAAGTATATATAATCAATTTCAAAATTCAAGTAAAAGAAATAAGACAGAAAATTTGTTCATTTTTTTGATCGTTTGACAAATGGAAAAACTGTTCAACAATTTTTCTCTTCAGAAAGAAGAATATTCCAGCTCGTGATACTGTGGCCAGTATCGGAAGCTGACAAGTGTCAATTTCGGTAGTACAAGAATTTCCTGCTGTAACAGGCTTCTGATATGGTCATCAACTGCGGCTCTGATCAGGTGGCTAGTCTGATTTAGAGTTTTTTCCGTTCTCTATACACATTACTAACCACGTAATAGTCTGTTCTTGAAACCCATGGAGACTAATGAATATACAATGGGGTAAACGATTCGACCTAGTGCGTTTGAAAATCAACATATCCTGCCAGGGAACCTCTTGAGGTTATAAATCGCTTTTGAACTCAGACTACTTTTAATTTGTAGATCTTAGTGAGTAGTGAAATACCCTAAATTGGTTTGTGCCCATGGTGCTTTGTTATTGAGATACTAGATTTTTAGTCAGTTTTTGCCTATAGAGTTTGGATTTCGCACAAAATCCAACTTTCGAATTGATTTCAAACTTGCCACAGTTGTAGGCCATGGTCATAGTAGTACGATGGAAAAATATTCGCTGCTAATGAATTTTTCTGCCTTGAGATATTGAGACTCGAATATTTGATCCTCACCCTTACCTTCTGATGAAATATCTGAGTCTCAATATCTCAAGGAAGGAAAATTCATTCGCAGCGAATATTTTTCCGTCGTACTACTATGACCATAGGCTACAAGTGTGGCAAGTTTGAAATCAAAATTCGAAAGTTGGATTTTGTGCAAAATCCAAACTCTATAGGCAAAAACTGACTAAAAATCCAGTATCTCAGCAACAACGCACCATGGGCACAAACCAATTTAGGGTATTTCACTACTCACTAAGATCTACAAGTTAAAAGTAGTCTGAGTTCAAAAGCGATTTATAACCTTAAGAGGTTCCCTCGTAAGATTAGAAGAATAAACATCTATTCTGAAGTTTAGAGACAAAAGTCGATTTCAACTCGAAACTTTGTTCGTTGCCATAGTCCTAATGAATAAATAGAAACCCTCCAATCAGATAACTTATTTTTATTGGACAAAATTACACGCACTCTTCGGATCTGATAAGTCACAATGTAAATATGTGTCATAAATAGTTGGTGATAACACATCATACTCAACGCATAATATAACTGCTTAATGTTTAAATGATTTTAATTTTTTTTCTTCTCTCACTCTCCCTCTCTCCCTCGCACACACACATTAAATAATTAATTAAAAACGGGATTTTGATTTCTTTCACACGCATGAATGCCTTTCTCTTGTCAATTTATTATTATTAGTATTCATCAACATATTTATTACAAATTGTTTGACATTTCATGTACATTTAAATGTCCATTTCAATAGAGAGATAAATTAGAGATGAGAAGAATAAGAATGAGTGTATCAATCAAAATACATACAGGTATTTTTATGTCTCATTATAACACGCGACAAGAAAAAAAAGAGAGAAAATAACGACTATTATTTTGTCTTCGTTTCTCTTTTCTTTCTTTTTTTTTTTTTTTTAAACATTTTGTTAAACTATTCAAAAGAAAAACAAAAAAAACTAAATCCCATAGTACTAAAATCGAACTTACTTGTAATAATCTTTTCGGCAAAAAAAAAGTAGTCCATCTTTTGAATAACAAGTTAATTCATTATCTAATACCATTTGACATTCATGACATTTTAAACATGTCAAATGCCAATATTTATCAGCAACACATAAATAATATTTTTCATCAATTTGTTGATAACAACCAGAACATTCAATTGATTTTATATGATTTTTAGTATTTGAAATAGTGTAATCAATATCGGAACATTTTTGAGACTAAAATATACATAGAAGAATAAACATAAAAATATTAGCTTATCTTTATATTTGAATTTAAAAATTTTTAAATCCTTGAAATTTTCATTTATAACACAATTAAAATGCATTTCTAGACATTCTTACGTATAACAATGGTTTTTATTTTACTTTCGAAAAAAAAAAACGACGTCATTTTTCTGCTAGCCTATTGTATAATTTTGAGTGAGTTTTAACTGATTTTTTTTTTCTTCTCTCGTTTATCTCGAGAATGGCAATAGTTCACATTTACGCAAGGAGGTAATGAAACATACATACATATTCACCTCAATATGTGAAGTTTAAGAAGCTTACTTTTTTTTTTCTATTTTTTATTGTACGTAAAAAAGAAAAAACACACATGGGAATATTTACGATTGAGAAATAAATAAAATATGTCTATATTTTGCACATATACTTATAAATAAATAGATCCAAGAGAGATGATATATTACCACTACTACCATTACACATCTTGAGATTTTATCTGACTGATCATCATCATTGTACGCCTTATATAATTAAATTTCTGGAAATTTACTTTTCACTGAAAATTGATATCTATACAAAAGTATCTCTCGAGTAATGATTGTAGATAAATATATGTGTGCAATTTTTTAAACGATACGAGCTGTAGAAAAATATCAATGTTATTTTCTTTTTTTTAAAGGAAACGAAAACGATACAAATTTTTAACGTTTAAATAAATGGGCATTGTTTTTATCAAGAAGTTCAAAGAATTAAAACTCATGTCACAAAATTTAGATCACGCAATGCATTGAATAAATTCAAGGTGTACACTTATCTTAAATATTTGTCGGCAAGAGTGACGTGTGCCAAAGCGGTTGTTCGTGTACAAAACTGAAAATACTAAGAGAAAATTCGCTACTATTGATCTACGAAATGTAAAAAATGCGCATTATTCAAATAAGCACTTTCAATTGATCACGTGGTTAAGATGAGACATGAAACTTCGAATTTGCTACGGATATGAAAATTTTTATTCATTCTAGGTTGAATATAGAAATTGTACTTTTATATACTTTTTTGTCTTTCACGGACATGATTGCATCGAGGCACATTAATATCAAACTAGCTAAAGTTGAAATCAAGTCAGCTTCCATGACGTGAACCGAGCTAGTGTCGCTTGGTTCACTAATCAAGTGTCCGATTTCAACTAAAACAGGATTTCAATCGGCTTGCAGTTAGATAAAATGTACCTTGTTCTACTGGTAAGTAAAAGCTCTGATTGATTATTTTCCCAAATAAGTTTTCTTGCTGACTTATTTTCGTAGCGGCACAATCAGAATGTTTAGACACTTTTAGACCATTCTTCCGGTAGGTCGATAGTTTTACAGTTTTTTTTTTTTCTCGACTGTCTGCATCTGCAAGAATAAACACATGCTGTCTGTGTTCGAATAAATTTGTATCTTGATTTTAGGTCATCTCTTTTTCTGAACAAAATTGTTCAAAATTAAACAAAAAAAGTGTCATAATTATTCAAGACTCAATGCATTCTCCCCCTCTCCTGCCTTCTCCATCCTTGCATTACTAGTACTACTAAGACAAAAGTTTATTATAAATCTATTAAAAAATTATCAAGTAAGAGGTTTCGGATAGTCTAACGAGCACAATTCTTAACATCTCTTTGAAAAAATCTCTCTTGAATATATACATATTTAGTGTATTTAAACAAGTTGTATAGGTTTTTGATTGATCTCATCGATCATCTGTTATAGAACATGTATATTCTCTAAAAAATCTTACTTCATTTTTTTCTGCTGTTGTTATTAAATCACTATTACTACCGTTAATATTCACACTATTTTGGCTAACAATTGTTATTGGTTGTGTTGGTAAACGTTCAATCATTATTAAATACGATGTGAATATCGAATAAAATATTTTTAGTGAAAAGTTTGATATAGAGTAACTCGAACATTTATTTTATTTATAGTAGAATATCGTCTTCTTCTTTTTCTTTCTGCTCTAGTCGTTTTGCGGTGGTGATAATGATTATTAATATCAATTTTTATCAAATATAATAATTGTTCTGTTCACTACAATACATTCATATACGTAATAAGAACCAATTTAGCATCACCAAATAATAATAATCATTAACAATACACAGATGATGTGTACGTGTAAAGGTGACCAAGAGAGAACGAGAAGAATAGAATATTTCTCTTTTCTTTTTTACTTTTTTTTTTCTTCAATTCTAACCAATGTTATTTTATGTTCTCTTCTCTATTTGCGTATACACACTTATATACATGAGAGAAAGAGAGAAAGAGAAAAAAATGAAATAAATCATGAGAAACTCTTCTTTTATTCGTCAGTGAGAAAAAAATGTGTACATGTACATAAGGTCATAAACGTAGATTCGAAACAAAGAAAAAAAGAAATAGCTCTTTTGTTCATATCAAAACATAATTTATCAATAGTGATTTTGTTTTATAATATCTACCCACTTTTTTTTTAAATGCACAGATTTTTCGGTTGACAAATTTGTCTATTTTTAAGCAATACTCTACGTTAAAATCATGTAGAATATTGAAAAATTAATCATCAGTGAATACGGCAGCAATCACAAGACAAAGATGGTGTGTAGAAAACTAACAATATCTTCATGTGATTTTTAAACTAAAAATTTAGATATATCTCAAAAAGATTATTCGTTCGTAAATTTTGAAAACTCTCATCTCTCGACAGTGAATAGCGTCGAAGAAATTTTAAAATCTTTCGCTGATGACGCAACCGTTATCAACTAAGAGTATGAGAATATACTACTATTTCCTTAATAACATGTAAAATTCAAAACTGACTTAGACAATACCTATTTTTTAAATTTTATTGTAGCAAAATTATACAAAGTAAAAATTCTCATTATCAGCCGTTGTTACATGATTGAGATGATAAAAAAACTACATATTTTCACTTTCTTAACGTCATAAAACAAACAGCATGAAGAAAAACATTGAAGCGTTCACTAGAATTTTTATTTGAAATTTTGCTCCATTTACGTTATCGATTTTTTATTAGGATATATGATTCATTTAATCCTTATCCAAAAGCTAGCCGATTTGCAAGATCAACTTTTCTCAAAAAATCTGAGCAAAACGACGGTTTTAAGACAACAATAGATTGTCTGATACCTTCATGACGTCAGAGAGATTGATGAGAATAGGAAGGAGAGTATGCCATTAGCATTCCCATGGTAGGTATCAAATATACGCACTTGAATGTATGGTGTATCTAGCAGAGCTCCGTATGGACTAAGCTGAAAATTTGTTGAGTTTATGGACTCGGACTCAACTAGACTCAAACTTTCAAGATCTGGACTGGTCTGGAATCGGGAAAAAATTTTGGATGGACTTGAGTTGAAGAAAAATAGGTAAAAAACAGGTCTTTTTGTATGGTTAAAGACGATTATTTTTATTTTCTTTATTGTTCTGTCTTTATAGAGAACTAGGGATGATTTTGCTCACCGAACTGATTTTAACACTTATTATTAAATATGTTTGTAACAACTGACGGCGAGGAAATAAAAATTGTCAGCAATAAAATATTAGTTGAAAATAGTTGTACTGCTAATGGATCACTCCGAAAGCCTACAGAAGTTTGCAAAATTCATTTGACTATTTACTTAATCTACTGGACTTAGACTGAACTTTAAAAACCGTTTTTCATGGACGCAGGCTGGACTGAGTCCATACGGAGCTCTGGTATCTAGTCCTGCACGTTACACAATGAGTAGGATATAGATGATACATATAGAGAGTGAAGAATTTTTTGAGAAAGTGAGACAAAATAAAAGAGTGATTTTTACTCCTCATATGATAACAAAACGTAACGTGTAGTGAGCATAAATCGCTAGAAATAAAATATTGTGTATCAAATTAAATCGATCGCTATTATCGTTTGTTTATTTGTACGAGCTGAATTATTTTTTACTGAAAACCTATGAAATAGAGAAGCATATTTGACAATAGTTGAAAAACGGTTAGGAAAGCAATCTTTTGTTATAACTATCGAAAAAGTGTACGATAGAACTGTTTTAAAAACTATCTAAAATAAGACGCGAATACTATTGAAAAAAGTAAAACTATCTTATTTGACCATAAAAGTGTTAATTTAGTTTTTTGAAAATAAAAGTCAGTTGTACAAATGCTGATTATCATTTTCTTCTGTATAAAACAAAGAAAGACCTACTTGTGTTAAAATTTTATTTAGAATCAAAACTGCTTTAGGTCATTGTTATAATTTTTCTCTCTAAACTTGAAAAAGAATAAAGATGATGTATAAATCATTTACGTACAAATTAATAGTACACGAGAAAAGCTTTCCGACATAGTAGTATTTGTAAGATGAATAAATGACATTAGAAAAATATTTAATTGATTAGAAAAGAAAAGTTTTTTATTTTTTTTATTTTTAAAAAAAAAGAAAAACGAGATGAGAAACAAAAGATTGTGTGCATGTTACCCTCAAGGTGTAAAACAGGTTGACTTTTCTCATAAAAATAAAAAGAAAATTGTGTTTTTCTTTTATAATATTATGATCAAACATCAATTAGAATGTATGTCGAGATGAGAGCTCTACGGGAGAGAAGTTGAAGTACTTACTAAGACAAGACGAAACATACACAACACTGGACAAAACTCAAGGTATCAATAGATCAATGTCTTCCGAAAAACATCATTTAATGAAAATGAACTAGACTATGTCAAGAATGTGTTTCAAAAATCCTATGCAGCTAAAGCATGATTATAGCAGAAGTCAAATTTAAGTATAACGAATTCAAGATTGACTTAAACCAAGTGTGTCTCAGAGTTGTAACCGGGTGGCAGACAAACTGATCATCGGCCGGTCCGCTCCGGTGTAAAAGTTTATACCGGTCGGTCCCCACCGGTCTTTTGCCGGTCTAGCAAACTGACCGGTTTTGAAATTCTTAGACTTTTTCTCTTCTTCACTACAAAAGTTAGTTTTTCCACCCTCTCGTCCGTCTAGAAAATCGCCCGATTTTCTGCCGTTTTTTCACCGGTCGAAAAATTTTTCAAAACCGACCGTTCGTTTGCCGGTTTTTCACCAGTCTAAACCGATTTATGGATCGGCCGGCCCGGTCCGGCCTCTTATTTGTAGGCCAGTTACAACTCTGGTATGTCTAGATATGACGTGAACGGTGTAATAGTCATATTTCGAAAACTAATACTTTCAAAGAATAACTTACTGATTAAATAATTGGTTAAATTACACAGATGCGAGATGATTGTCTCAGAAAACGATAATGAGCTAGGAATGGACAGTAAAAACTCCCTAAATCTTCCGAGACATTTATGGCATATCGATCTAAAGTAGGGTCCAGCGGGTCTGCCATTTTTTATCCCTAACTCGATCGTCCCGTAGACTTAAAACCTGTTCGAACCCGCACGAATTTTTCCGGGATCTCGATTTTTTCAGACTAAAACCCGCTTGATCCGAAAAATGTTTTTAGTGATCAAGTCTCCTCTTTTATTTCTGCATTAGTAAATCTCTACACGTAGAGGTTCTGCTTGTTTCACAGCCAAGAAGGAGACACATCAAACAAAGTGATGGTAGTTTTCATGACAGTGGAAAATCAAAAGTTTTAAGAAAAAATTTGTTTCTATTGCTATTTTGGTGATAAGCGTTTAGCAAGTTCAGAAAACATTATTTCTGTGTTATTTTTGTCTTTTGAATAAAAAGAAGTCGAAGTTACCTGGAAAAAATAATGCAACCTTTGAAGAAGAAACCTGATCCCGATCCCGTTCCGATGAACTTAAACTTGTTCCGAATCCGCGAGATCGAGTTAAACCAGCAGGACTCTAGTCGAAAATCAGCTCATAACCATACCGAATCATTCTCATTTGTACTATCGCATTTTCTTTTTGTATTACTATTGATTCTCCATTCTTTATTTGTAATTGATTTATTCCGTTTATTTTTTCTTCACTCGAAGAAGGTTAAAAGATGCTTTACTCAGCATGATGACTTCTTTGATCAACGAATTTAGTTGAGTACTTGACTCGATTTATAAGAGTATATAAAAGGATGAAACAGTTGATTTTGTCTTATTAATTCGATATTCTATTATTGCGTCGTCGCCTATAGATCATGTTCTAATTATTTATTTTTTAAGTACATTGTCTAAAAAGCGTATCAATGAACATACCGACTACCCATCGGTGTCTCTCTTCTCATTTCACAATTAGCGTGATCATCATTAGAAAGTTTTCTCTTTTCTATTGTAACTATACACGTGTTTTTAACCGTTTGAAAGTGCAAAAATAATCGTACTAATTTCTTTTTACTAATAAAACGATGATTATATTTATTTGTCATTGATTGATATTCAAGGTGAATTGTTTTATAAATCAATTAAGGATACCCCTCCTCCCTCTTGAAAACCGACGTTTGATTAGGATGAAATTTATACCAGAGATAGAATATCGCAAAGAAAATCGATGTATTTTTGTTTATAATTTTCTAACGTGTTCTTCTGACTTTTCATCAGGTCGCATTATGACCCTTCGAAAAAATGGTGAACATTTTACTACAGATACTTTAGACCCTATTTCAGGTTTGTTATTTTTCTTTGCGAAAAATATGCTTTCCTTCTCGAGATATTCGAGAAATACTAAAAATTCTGTATAAAAAAAAATGTTTGTTTTATTTTAAAAACCTACTCACGCGGAAAGTTGAAATAGGAAATGCTTAAAAAAATATAATGACTGGGGTATCTGTGGTAAAAATTTCAGCTCGAACCATTTTTTCGACTATTCGTAGTGTGACTAGATTGAAAGGATTATCGAGAAAACGCATAATGAGAAAAATACATATTGTACAATGAG